TAAGAACATCATCAATGAACCGATATGTAAAAGCATATCGGCGAGCAGCAGAGGGATCCACACGCTGCAGGTTGTCCACGTACTGCGCCTCATCCCAATAGAGTGTAAGATTGGCAATCTCWGGACCAGCGTTTGTACCCATAGGGATACGGACATCTTGATGACGAACAAGGCCATCCGCTGTATACAARTATGTATTTGTAACAATAAACCGAAGATGTTGAAGAATGTCAGAAACAGAAAGAGTGTCAGGTCCCGTATCCGTAGTCCATTCCCCTGCACGGGGTCCACGGACCAGCATACGAAGAGCAAGATATAGTCAAACAGAGCTGCCCGGTAAACCGTAGGCAGAGAGGGAGGGAGACGAGGACAACAAATGAGGGGCTGTGGCAAACTGTTTCGTCGGAGTTTCACCGACTCATCAGGAGGCTGAACCTTCAACAGTCTGCCGAATCCCCTAACTGATTACACTGTAAGTGATAATCCACCTTAACCCCGGCTGTGGTAAAGCATCAACGACTGCCCGACAACTGATACCCTGAGGTGGTGGGGACCACCAACCACTGCCCTCAAGGTACCTGCGGCAGAAATATATATATATTGTCACAAAGTTATCAGAGCGCAAACACGAAAAAACAAAAGGAAATCAATGGGGGCGGTGCTTTTATGTGGGGATCGTCATCTAGGATTGTTTTTTATGACGTCCCGGTACGAATTGCTTACGATGACGCCGAATAGGAATACCAACTTCTTGATGTCGAACAAGGCCATCTGCTGTGTATCTGGGACTTTTTTTTTTTTTTCTTTGCAGAAGAATGTTTTGACATCCTGGTTGGTCTTGTCCCGTCGTTTGGCCTGTGTAGGACTGGGGCGATGCTTGCATGTGGGACTTGTCATCTGGGATCTGTTTTGTTGCCCCCTGTTCTGTTTTATTTGGCTGTTCCCTTCCTCTTTTCTTTGCCTCTTTGCCTTTTGGCTGTGTGCAAGTGGGTCGATACGACACACCGGAGTGGGGCAGCCGCCGCTCAACCTACATCCACGTGGGCGGCCTTGTACGCAAGAGGTTCTGAACAGGGGGAGTCATAAGGAAGAAGATAAAAAACTGAATTCATTTTTTCCTGTTTTTCTTTCTTTTTTTTCTTCCTTTTTTTCGCATTTGCGCTCTGATATTCTTGTGACAATACATACATATATATACTAATATATAATAGTAATAGTAATTTCTGGAAGAAAAAAAAATTGTCGTTTTGTGCACCGTCCCCACACTCCTCACACGGGCGGAGTGCAGACAGACCTCATGGCTAATGTCGTTTCCCGCGAACAGAACGTAGCACGGTCATTATCCCTGTATCTAGACCGACAATTGGCCCAAATACAGCGATAATCACCGTGCGTTCTATTCGGGGAAAGACGATATATAACCAGCCGGGCTACGATCAATGGTTGTCCATCGCAAATTGCAGAGGGCCCTCACCGCCGTCAGTATCACGATTTTTTTTCCGACCACAAGTCTCCTACCGTCTTCCATCGAACACAACGCACCCTTATTTTGGCTGTATCTGGCCGGAAATATAGCTTGTATACATTCATTATCAGGATGCGTTATGTTCGGGGGAAGACGGTAGTAGTAAACACCGTCAATTTCCAATCTATTACTGTATTACCATCACCGTCGTAATCCATCATGACCGCCATCGCCATCCATGAGTGTTTCATCGACATTATCATCATCATCATCACCCCTCATCATCACCCCTCATTATCATCCTCATCATCCTCATCCTCATCCTCCTCCTCCTCCTCCTCCTCCTCCTCATCATCATCATCATCATCATTGTCGTCACCGTCGTCGTCGTCGTGTTCGTCATCATCGACAGCAATCGTTGACACTCATCATCAGCCATCATCATCATCATCAGCCATCATCATCAGATCCATAGCCCCCCAATACTTCCTCCTCCTCTTCTCCCTCTCTCCTTCTCTCCATCCTTATTATCAACATTATCATCTTTGACCACCGTATTCATTATCATCCTACATCATTATCATCATTATCATCATATCATCATTATCATCATTATCGTCTAACATCCTTCTGACCTACCGTCCCCAACTCCACCTCCACTTACACATCATCCTCTTCATCATCCTCTTCATCATCCTCATCCTCCTCCTCCTCACCACCCTCCTCATCATCCTCTTCATCATCCTCTTCATCTTCATCATCCTCTTCATCATCCTCATCATCATCCTCCTCACCCTCCTCCTCATCACTCTCTTCATCATCCTCATCCTCATCATCATCATCATCGTCATCATCAATGCCACCAGAACTATGCGATTCATCGTACTCATTATCCTCATCATTGTCTGACTAGCCATGCTAACCTCATTCTCATTATCGTCGCCATCGTGATGTTAATCTATCAGCACTACCATCTCTTCATGTTTTGTTTTTCTTTTTTTTTTCTTTTTTTTCTTTTAATCACCCCTTGTCATGGTCGTTATCAGAAGAAAGAAAAAAAAAATACCGGTAACTTAATTTTTTTCTCTTACACAACCTCTCGTCACCTCGTCAGCATAGCGTCCCCTTCTTTTTTTTTCCTCCTTTTTTTGGGGGGGGTCCCCTTTTTTTTCCCCTTTGTTTTGGGGGGGTTCCCCTTTCTTTGAAGGATCATATTTAGAGTATACTCACACTAGGAGGCCCTCAAGATCTCAGAACGCAAAATCATCGCCCAGATTGAGTCCTCCTTTTAGAAGGACCGAAGGACTCAATCTGTAGGCCGCTGATTTTGCGATTCTGTGATTTTGAAGGCCTAGTGTGAGTATCCATCCTTATCTGTATACTACAGTAATAATCACTCCTCTTCCGATAATTCCCCCTTCTGACAGCGCGGTCATTTACTCCTCCTTCACTATTTTACTCCTTTGCCACACACGCTAAGGCACATCTCTCTCTCTCTCTCTCTCTCTCTCTCTCTCTCTCTCTCTCTCTCTCTCTCTCTCTCTCTC